TCTTTGTTTCTCACCAAGGTGAGAACGACCTATTCCTTGCTCGCAGTCTCCTGACACACCTACATCACTCATCCCAGTAGGCCATGGTGTATTCTACCTCACATGTGCCTTGTCATCCTGTTTTTTTCTTGCCAGCCTTCTGAGGAAGCATTATGGCATATGTGTATCATCACAGGGCCAGATGAAAGAATCAAGAAGAAAAATCTGACCCCCTGATGATGTCAGAAAAAGATGGAGATGCAGGACCAGATGTGTAACAGTGGATCCCTACAAAACACTGCTGAATTGCTAGGCATGCAAGTATGTTTTTTTGTACAGAACCCAACTGTACATGTAAGAAGGAAAAAATAGTGGGGGAGTTCTATGACAGCTTAAATTGATAATAAAGGTTCTGATTTTTTTTATAAATAATAAACATGTTATATCTTCCTGTTTTATGCAGGTTTTGCACAGAGCAGCACTGATCCTCCTCTTCCCGGGTCCCTCACCAGCACTCCTGTACCCTCCCCTCTTCCGAGTGCCCCCATAGTAAGCTGCATTCAAGCGTGCTCACTCTTGAGCCACCTCTGTGTACATATAGGACACACAGAGCATTGCTCGGCCCTGTCCCCATACCCCCTGGCTGTGGCTGACAGCAGTGGGAGCCAATGGCTCCCGCTGCTGTGCCTCAATCAATGATAAGGGAGAGAGATGGGAGAGATGTTGCTCTCATGCATATTTGCTGGATTGTGATAGGGCTAAGGTAAGTATTAGGGGGCTAAGGGGAGAGCTAGACACTGAAGCCTTTTTACCGTAATGCATAGAATGCATGAAGGTAAGAAACTTTAAGGGCCGGTTCACACTATACCCTGATAAGAATCGCACTGGAAGGCGCTGTGCATTTCTGTACGATACATATGTGGGTGTATGCAGAGCAATTTCATGCCCATGCATGTATCCCATTCATGTATTTCATCATATTTCATGTATTTCATCCCATTCATTTGAATGAGATTAAATTGCACCACGCTAAAGGTAGTGCATGCACTACTTTTTTTAAACGCACGGCAACCGTATCACATGGTACATTTTACCATGCGATTTGGTGTGGGCCGATGCGGGCAAACCTAAAGCATTTGCGACCTGCCTCCAGGGTGTCGGTAACTTTAACTGACCCCCCCCCCACAGCAGATTTCAAGAGCATTGCAATCGGAACGATTGTGGAACACCGCAACGGAATGCTGCTCTCCCGTACTCTGTGAACGAACCCTTAGCCTTTAGAACTGCAATTGGTATGATTATTATCAACAACACATCAGATGCTTGTTGTAATGTTGTCAAGCTCATCTGAAAACAAAACATACAACATAATTTTTTTATTAATAAAAAAAAATGTAAAAGCATCTCCACAGTTTAAAAGACATTCTTTGTAGTGTATCACAATGTTACTGTTCTATTTAAATATTTTTCATAATTATTGTGGAAATAGCTTTACACCCACACAACTTTCAGCTTTGAAACAACAACCTGATGCACCTTACAGGCTTGTAGGCACATTTTATATGATGCCTACACAATTAATTCATAGAATTACACCTGGATCCAGTGATAGATTAGACAAGTTATAATAACGATTCCAAGAATTGCTAAATATCTCATCCCTTAAATTAGCGGTATCCTTGATGAGACGGCATAGTGACTCAACATGCTGAGTGCCTGGAAGAGATAGTAAATCTTCTCCTCAGCTGGGAAGACATAGATGCTGTTATCATTAGTTTGGAGATCTCTGATTCCTTCTCTCCTGAAAGCCTAAAGAATTATATTATAACCTCTTGGCACACTGAGTGCTTCTACAGCCTAATCAGTGCAACTTTAAATTAACCAACGTGAACATTTTTACATTTCCAGACATATTATCAGTATATCTTGTTTAAGATTCTCAATAATTTACAGCTGTAATTTATATGCCCTGCTAGTAGCGTATATGAGAGTGTCTCACTTGGCTCAATTTTTCTATTTTAACATGATTTATGTGCTTTATTTTATGCAAAAGCCTAGTGCTTTCTCCTTTTTTTAATTAATTGCCTATGATGTATGTCAATACTGCTCATGCAGCAGAGCTTAGACTTAAGTATATTTGTAAAACTTGTTTTGTCCAAGACTTTGCCACCGGATTAAAAGGAGACAGGCTGACGCTTTTGAAAATGCTAGTTGCCTAGCTATCTTGCTGATCCAATAGTCATTGACTCAGAATAAAGGTACAGGTTAGTCGCTCCGACATGGTTTATACTTTTCCCAGGTTAGTGACTGTAAAAGGACTTAAGCACTTTGCAATTTAACCACTTCCCGACCACCCTACAGCAGAATTATTGCTACAGGGTAGCACGAGTGTACAAAATCACACACACACACACACACACACACATATATATATATATATATATATATATATATATATATATATATATATATGATTTTGCATTCCCAGGTAGGAGGTGCACGTGAGGTGCTTGCGTCCTACCTGCGCCGCCATTTGTGGCCGCGACTGTCAATCGCCGGGTCCCTGCCGGTGATAACTAGCCAGCGCCCGGTGATTACCAAGGATCTCTGATGAGGAGGAGAACTGTTTTGTTTACTAACAGTTCTCCTCCCTGTCAGCTCAGACACAATGATTTGGATGGCTGTGTAGGAAACTTGCTCATCAGAGTGGGACGCTGAGTTTCCCCTTTTTTTTATTTAGAAGTATTCCTCAGTCCTTCATTCCCTACCCCCTCCCTTCCTGAGAGGCAAACGTTATATTCTGACAGATGGTGTGGGTCAACCCAGGTTAAGGCATCCTTAGTCCGGTGCCAGGCAGTCTGCGAAAGTGTAACCTTCCTCACCTAAAGCCCTGATAAGGCCAGCGTGACCCCAGAACTTGCATAGGCTCACCCATCATAAAACAGATAAGGCAGTTTCTCCCCGGAATTGAAAGAGATTGTACCCTCACCAAAACAGTTAAAGATGACAGAATGAAATGAACATTCCTCAAGTCAGGTTTTTTCCCCTATGTTTCATGTCATGGATTATGACAGATGTTGGTTCTAATTCAGAGTTCTCCTGACTGACCCCTCCCAAAACAGCATAGTGGCCAGTGTTCAGAGCCCCCCCCCTGCCGGGTGATTTTAAAAAGACAGGCTGACAAGCCTAGGGGAAGCTAAACACATCTCCCAAAAACCATCAATATACCACCTAGGGAGACCTTTTGCAATGTGGATCTGCTTACAAACCAAGGCGTATTGGCAAGTAATTTAACCCTGTAACTTCCTTCCTATTATCTATTTGCTGTATCTTTATCTATATATAAATATATATTTTAGTGACATCTCTTTGTAAATATTTTATTGCACCTGTTTGACTCTTTTAGTAATAAATCTTTCTTTCTGAAAGTGTTCAACTGTTTTTAAGCGCTTACTTGCAATTCACAATTCCTGCCTTTGAAGAGACGCTACTGTGTTTGTTTAATCCTCTGCCTGTGGTGACCGTATTGGACAGGCGACTTTTCAATCATTATAGTGTATATTTGATAACGGGAGTTTCCCAGTCTCCGACAAAAGTGGTAGTGACAGTAGAGGGTTAGTTGCGTAATTAATCCGACCCAGTAACAAGCGCATTCAGGCTGCAGGCACCGATTGTAGCCCATTAGCTGGACAATCACTGTGCAGGGTGCAGCTGGGTGTGGCCTTGTTACGCGCGTCACACCACGTTTTTTAGATCGTGCCGGTCCTTCGGTCACGAGTTTGGTGAGAAGGTCTGGGGGTCTGACGCCGCGGGCGTGACATAATATTGTTTGTCGCGGTCGTGCAATTGTCGCATGTTGGTGGTGGCGATCGTGCGATCTTGACAGACTGTGCACAGCACAGCCATCAAAAGCAGTGTGCTTACAGTGAAGCACACAGACATCGCCCCATAGTAAACACACCCAGCACATAGTTAACCCTTTCATCGCCCCTCATGTTAACCCTTCCTGCTCAGTGCCAGTGTACAGTGTCAGTGCTTTTTTTAGCACTGATCGCTGTATTGGTGTCACTAGGGATGTCAGTGACACCAAGTCAGTTCCGCACAGTGTCAGAATGTCTGCTGCAGTCCTGCTATAAGTTGCTGTGATCACCCCCATTACTAGTAAAAAAAAATCCCAGTATATACAATTGTGTTCAAAATAATAGCAGTCAGACATCACTAACCTGATCAATCACTGTTTTTGGTAGAAATTATATATCTACATGGCAAACAATTTACTAGCAGGTGTAGTAGAGTAATAGAAAGCCAACAGACCCAACAGTCATGACATGCATGCTGCTGAATTGAATCACTAATTGGGGCATGTTCAAAATATAGCAGTGAGGAGTTCTATTAGTGAGGTCAGTCATTCTTTGAAAAACAGGGTTGGCAATTATTGCCCTTATTTAAGGAAGGAAGGCAGCAAATGTTTGTACATGCTGGTTTACAGTGCATTTCTCTCTGAAATTCTGAGGAAAATGGGTCGTTCCAGACATTGTTCAGAAGAACAGCGTACCTGATTAAAAAGTTGATTGGAGAGGGGAAAACATATAAAGAAGTGCAGAAAATGATAGGGTGCTCAGCTAAAATGATTGCAAATGCTTTTAAATGGCAACCAAAACCTGAAAGACATGGAAGAAAGCGGAAAAACTACCCATTAGAATGGATAGAAGAATAGCCAAAATGGCAAGGACTCAGCCAACAGTCAGCTCCAGGAAGATCAAAGAAGGTCTTAATGTTACCCTGTGACGTACTGTTACAATTAGAAGATGCCTTTGTGAAGCCAAGCTATCTGCAAGAAGCCCCCGCAAAGTCCCACTGTTTGAAAAAAAGACATGTGCTGAAGAGTAGAGATGAGCGAAGTATTCAAAAATTCGATTCGACTGATTCGGCGAATTCGTGGACAATATTCGATTCGAGTCGAATATATTCGCTGTGAATTTAACTTAAAAAAGGTTGTTTTTCTAGGCTTCAGAGAGACTTAATATTAGTGCAGAACACTGTACCTTTAATTTAAATGCCTTGGAGTTCTGCTGGGGAAGAGAAATAATACTGTCAGTCAGTATGACATGCAGATGAGTGCCGTCGATCTTAGAATCACCGCACACTTCACTCATTTGGCCAGTCACGGGGCCAAAAAACCAGTGCTTGGAGCCACAGTGGGTGGAGGGAGCAGCAATGGGGGGCCCAAAAGCAACCCTATGACAAAATGGAAACCAAGGAGTGTGAGGAGACCTCAAAGGGGCACATGGGAGAGTGGGGGCAATGGGAGGCGGAACAGGGGCCCAATTCACACTGTGGCCCACACAGCGTGACGAGGCGGTACGGGGCCCAAAAGGGAGATTTGGGGCCTGGGGAGCAACCCATGGGAGGCCTGTAATCTGCCAGAACCCAGACAAAAGGAAACCCAGGAGGTGAGGAGACCTAAAGTGGGCACATGGCAGAGTGGGGAGCAATGGGGGCGGGTCAGGGGGACCCCCCCCCTGTCACACTGTGGACGAGCAGCAGGGGACAAGGCGGTACGGGGGGCCCCTGGCAGATTACAGGCCTGGCAGCAGCAATGGGAGGCCCCTAATCTGCCGCACCCTAGAAAAAAAAAAATGGAAAAACCCCCCCAGAGTGTTGAGGAGACCCTGAAAAAAAATTTTGGACATGGCAGATGTGGGGATGGAGACACAGCAAAGGGAAGGCCGTACAGGGGCCCCCGAGAACTCTGGACCTGGGGCAGCATGAGGAGGCGGGATAAAGGGGGCCCCTGGGAGATTTGGGGCCTGGCAGCAGCTATGGGGGCCCGTAAAGCCAGCACCCTATGACAAAAAATTTAAAACACCAGCATGTTGAGGAGACCTGAAAGTGGCACATGGCAGAGTGTGGGGAT